AAAAAAAAAAAAAAAAAAAAAAAAAGGTTGAAAACCACTGGCCTAAGTAAATTACACTTTCATTTAGGGTTTATAATATTGCCTTCTTTAATGACCTCAAAATCTCTTCATATTTTCTGCAGCATAAAAGGGAATGAAACCAATGCACATAGAATATTGTTATTTTAATCTTTTTCCAGACTAGCAGTGATATATGTCTGATAGCCAAATTACATAGCTGAGAGCAGTATTTAAAGTGGCTAAACAAAAAAGTTTGAATTAAACACGAAATTGTCTAGATCTTTTTGTTTTTTTCACAGTCTGTTTAGTTTAATCATGTAGCGTTCAGTAAACTTATTTACCAACTGTATTCACGGTGTAACATGGTTTTGTCTTTGTTATCTATGCACCTAAGCAACTAAACACGTCTCAGCCTGAAGAAAATAACTTTATGGTAAATGTCTCTTACATGCTCAACTTGCTGCATGTAAAGTGGCTAAAGGTTTGTTGGCCTCCTGTGTTCATTCATTCTCTTACAAAGTGTTTCCTCTTGCTATCTGAATCACGTGGCTTTAATTGTCACATAAGCTTTTTGGGTACTTGAATATTCCATTATTTTTGTCCCTGTCAAAAACAAACTTATGACTATGTTGTTAAATATTGTTCTATTAGACCAAATACAGTCTATTTTTTCACATCATTGATGTCAGAAAAGCTTAACATACTCATTTGAAAATATTTTCATTACTTAATTTGAGTTCAGTTGAGTGGCGAAAAAAAATTCCCATTGAGCTCTGTATAGACTGGTATGAATTATGTAACATATCTAAGAATATTATGGAAAACTTCTATACATATTTGTTTAATACAAAAATTAAATATTCTAGTATGGGTGGGCTAATTTGAAACCAAGATAAGACATCTATATTTGTTGCAAGTCCATCGCTTCTTGGCATTTTGGCTAAGATCAAGTGCATTTCCTAATCCTAAAAATTAATATTACTTGCCACAGACAGTTGACATGCTCATTACAAAATACACACAAGATGCTATGATGGTCCTTCATTTGGGCGTTGATTGTGGTCTGTAGCTTAAACCAGTGTTTAGGGATCTGTTACTGAGATAAATCAGAAAGCTAAGAATTTTCTCTCTCATTAAAACACAAATGATGCCTTGGGTGTTGCTTGTGTATTTCTTAACCATTATCTCTGACAGTAAGACTTTGGTTTTCAGGTTTTCTGATTGCAACATCCTTAGCTAAAGAAAAACAGTATTGTAAAACAGCTCTTTTTGCTACTAATTTTTAAAGGTGTTGTTGAGATCTATAAATGCTGTGGAGTCCATTTGTTCAGTTTAATGGTTGTTCTCGTGGAGGCAGGCAACCAATAATGGAATTAATATAGCAAGAGAAATCACTCCTTTTTGTTGTCTCTATTTAACACAGTGCTTCTAGTAGACTTTCTTTCAGTCAAATGTGAGGCTCTTTTAATTGGTTTAGTGTTTTGACCTTAACTACGTTTACTACATTTTAAAAATATTCATTGCTAAACTAACAATCACTCATTTATTCTAAGCTTTATAATTTAGGCTCTTTGATCTATCTATTTTCTAAATAATTAAGTGGTGTTACAATACTTCCATGTTATATGGTAAACCAGTGTTGTTTTTTAACTCTCTTCTCTTTCCATTTAGAGCGATTTATAAAATTATATAGTACTATACAATTGCAGTATTCAAACTGCAATTTTTCTACTTTATTTAAAACAATGCATGCCACATTTAACATAATTCGTAGCAAAGACTTTCATATGGCTGCAGTGAGTAGGTTGCCCAGTCTTTTAGATACTTTAAACTTGGGAGAGTGGGGGAAGCATTTAAAAAAAAGTATGGCTATATTGTGTTAAAACAACACCATGCTGTTCTAAGTATGTATTTTTTTCTCTAACTTTTTAATGCTGACTAGATTTGGGCAGAAGAAGTGACAAAAGTAAGTAAAAAAAAAAAAAAAAAAAAAGTTCAGAAACAGAATTATGAAACAAAACGTGTATGCTAGTGCAGTATAATTAAGACCTTGTATGAAGAGCAGAAACATAAAATACTATTAGTCTGATGCATCAAAATACCATCTGGCCCTTTGCAGAAAATTTCAAAATCCTAATGGTGATGTGTGAGGCACTTGAAAATAAACAGTGTGCTCCACCACGGGAAAACATGTGATCTTCTTGTGACACTACAGTAGGAAAAGACTACAGGGCTTCTCTTACAAAACTTAACTGCTTGAGACAATGTCTTCTTTGAAGCCAGACTCCCAATAATAAGTTCAAATGTTCTAAAGGATTGTATATTTTTCTCTTGCATGGCAATTCAGAGCCACCACATGCAGCTATTTGCCTCCTAGTGTGCAAGTGCTGAACTGAGAGCAGCTGAAGAAGCAAACTGCACTGGAAAATGGAGAATCAATGCTAGCCTTTTCAGGTTTAGGTGGAAGACAACCTGAATGCAAACTCATGCTGTACAATGGTGATACATAAGACTAAGTGTAGGCTGGAAAGAGAATATTTTGAGAGACTCCTCAACTTCAGCCTTTGTGACTGGACATTGTGTCCTATCTCACTTGTTACAGAGCTGTTTTTTCCTCCTTCCCCTATGATAAAAGTAAGACAATAAGTTGTGAAATGCTCAGGGTCTCAAATCTGAGAGCTGGGACTAAAATGTAGACATTCTTTGAGTCATGCTGTTTTATTACTATTGAGCTGACAGTGTATGCAGTTAAACGAGCTGGTCTGTTACAAAAAGCTGGGTGAGAGATGCTGGGGTCAGGCTGAATGCTGCTGACAACAGCCTGCAGAGCACCCTAGCCACAGAAATGCAGAAATTGCACTTCCCCACCAGCTGCACTAGACAACTTCAAGTTGGTAGAGACTGGAGACTGACAACCAATATTTTTTAAAGAAAAATCATTGGCAAACTTTGAGCCCTAGATATTGACAGATTTGTTTTCAAGCCTTAATGCTGGCTGAGTTTCCAACCATTTTATCTGTTACAAAGTTTGTGTTTGTTCTTAGTGTTGTAGGGTAAAATGTGTAAGAAATAATAAACCTAGAAGCCATCCAGTCAGGATATTCAAAGCTACAACTAATGTCTCCTTTCAAAGGCAGACTAATTCATGCAAATACATTCAGGCAAATTGTACTTTGAGATTACAGCTGCATGTTATTTCTTTAAGCCAGGACAAAGCTTTAAATAAGAGAAGTTCTTATTCCTAAGCAAGGTTTTTAATGTTAATTGTCCTGACTACTAAAATGCTGAACTATTTCTGGTTTGAAATTGCCTGTTTTAGCTTCTGACTGTTTGATTTCATTATGCATTTTCTACTTGTTTTAAAACTTAGTTATCAAACCTCTTCCCCATGAAGATACTCTCTCTCTCTTTAAAATACTAAATATTGAACTTCATTAGTCTCTTGCTGCAAGACATGTTCTTCCAGGCATTAGAGGCACTTCTTGTCATTCTACTGCAACATTTTCAGTTCTGTTTCTTTTGTTGCATGGGTGGACTTAAAAATTGGACGTTGTATTTTAGCAATGTTCTCTAAGGATAGAAGTGTGTACATTTGGAGCCATTTCAAAATGGCAGCAGATGTTACTTTTCTAACTGTTAATGTACAGGGTGGGAACTAGGAAGCGGTCTTAAATTTGGAGAAGTGTTGCTACATCTGTATCATCTCCTGCTTGTTTCATTGAACATCGTCTGCCCTTTTGAAACTGCTGCAGCATTCATGTGTTCATACCCAATAGCAATAGAGAGATACTACCTCTCTAGTCTTACTCTGTCTTGCCTTGTTCTTTGCTTTCTTTGTACATATTCTCTTGGGTTTACGATTACACTGAGGGCTCATACTTAATAAGTAAGATTTGCAGCATGCCCATAAGCTTATAGATCCTTGTTCTGAACTGAATTGGAGAAGGCACCAGTTTAACAGACCTCAGTGGAAAACACTAATGGGCCACCAACTTCAGGTCCCTTCTGCCCCTACAAACTATGAAACTTGTGTGCGACTTGGTGTAGGTTTTTTAAGCTGCTACTGCAGTTAATACTGGACTGGTAGAGAGAGTAGTTTAAACCTAAAATTCCAATGTTCTCTCTTGGCTGCTTTAAAAACTGAGGTGGTGAGCCTGAAGGTTTTATGGGTTCAGAAGGTCAGCTGTCTATATACAGCTTTTACCAGGGGCTATAAAGGAGTATGCCATAATACCAATCTTCAGTTGCCAGCAATGAAAAAGGGGTGAGGAAACTAGTTGGAAGACTTAAATTATATAATCACACTTTAATAAGCAGATTAAATTCTTGTTTCCTCAGTTTTTCTTAAATTTGTGACACTGTCTGAAAGTAGTAAATGAGTTAAATCTGTATGTAGTGTGACTTAATTTTGCCATCCCTTGTGAAGGGAGGAAATTGGCTTTATTTGCCCAACTAAACACTTGCCATTGTAGGGTTTCTGTAGAATGCAGATCAGTCACAATTTCCTATTTTATATATTGTATTTTCTGTGGTCGTAGAAGGAGACCCAGAGTCTACTGCAATTTTAAGCATCAGAAAACTTCACAAATCTCCCTAGGGAACTTGGCATGATGTGGAATCAGGAAATAATACTGGTTGACTCTGACTCTTACCTCCTTCCGAAGCTTCTTATTTTCCTTAATATTCCTATACTAGTAAAATCCTCATTGTTTTTTTTCCTAAAGGAATGTATGTAAGATTTTTTTTTACTAATGGTTTATTTGTCTGAACTTACTATTGCAAACAGAATTTTGTGTGGTTGGAAAAGCAAGTTAGTTGGTCTTTAATGATGATGATAACTTCCAACAGAATCATATTAATGGCTAAATAAGCCCCATGCTGTCTAATTGGGACTATGCACAAACTTAGAGTTGATGTCCTGACCTATTTTGTGACATGTAAATTGCTGTCTTGTTATGAAATGAAATATATGTATGCTTTTCAGCAGCAGTTTCCTCAGTGTCTTTATCTGGGATAATTTCAAAACGTCAGTAACTAGTAACTTAAAATAATATTTTTAAAACTTCACTGCATAATTTCTTCTGGACAGATTGCTGCAACTGAGATGCTTTTATGTTCCCATGGCACTCTTCATAATAAGAAGAATAAGTAGAAATGTTATATAATAAAATGATGTGCAGGAACAAAACAGCACATCTAGATATAGTGTCACTAGTGCTTCAACAGAGCTTCCTGCAAATACTTCCTACTCTAAGAATAATTATTGCTTTATCATGCTTTTTGGCAGACGGGTCGCATGCAGAAGCAAGATGTTAGAATGTTAATTGTCAGACTTAAAAGCACAGTATCAAAGCAATCTTCATTCTACGATTAAAGGTTTTCAATCAAAGGAAATCTTAGAATAGTGAATCTTAAATAGTGCAGTTTATATGCATAAGTGCAGTTTAGGCAGCGTAGCCTTTTTAGAGCACTAAATGCAAAGTTAATTGTACTAAATGACATCATCTAATACAGTTGGATTACTTTTAGATTTATCCTAAATTTTATGGTACCTGCAGGCTAAATGACATTAACAAAATAAACTATGGACTTCAGTGAGTTAAATATAACAAAATGTAATAATCTCAAATAAATTTTACTTTTTAACTGTAAATTTCACTTTCTGGTGCAGCAGAGAGCTTTTAGCTTAACACAGGGGTGACTGAACCATCTTAAAAATTAATCTATTTTGAGGTGTCTAGAGTTAGTGCATAGGTAGCGTATACTCATTAGTCTCCATGCTTTGTTTCCAAGAAAGTCATACCAGAATGAGCAGTTTTACATATAGTTAACTGGAAAGTAGTTGCCTACAAAATTAAACAGCTGTGTACCAAATTATGAATGCCTACAAGGGGTATGTATAATAGCTTAAAGTTTTTAGAGAATTAAATAAAAATTGGGGCCCTAATTCTGCAAATGTATAAGAGCACACTTAACTGAATTCACATGAATAGTTCTGTTGAAATCAGTGAGATTAATGCATTAAAGTTGACTACTGTGTAGGATTATGGCCTACATTAGGAAGCTGTAATAGATTTAGCAAGCAGTATGGTGGTGTGATATGGCTGCTTTTGACTGAATGTACTTCTAACAAGTATACCCGCTTCAGTCTGAACAGGAAGTAAGAATAACTCAGAGTGAATTTGACCGTCAAGCAGAGATTACAAGACTTCTGCTGGAAGGAATCAGCAGTACACATGTAAGTATTCAAACTGAAGAAAGTGTAAGCAAGAGTTCTGGCGACTTACCTGGCACATTAAAATGCTAATATTTATCTTCATGTGTTTATCAAACTTTAGATATTTGAAGGGAAACTTCTGAGCCCTGCTCCTGTGTAGCAAGCTTAATTTTTGTTAAAGTAGGGGTTAGAACAGGCGCCAGCAACTCCTGGCATGCATGCCAGTGTAGCAAGCAAAAGCATTTTGCTTGGCATGTGCACCTCAGGGTGGGCAGTGGGGAGACGCAGGGAGGTGGATCCTTGTGGCAGTGCAGCTCTGGTCCCTTCTCTGCTGTCTGCCCTGAGATTTGTATACCTGCTGCTAGCAACGAGCTGGGCTGGGGATTTGCAGACTCCACTGGAGCTGCTTGCAGCCTGGGCTCCGTGGCAGGCGACAGGGGCCTGCCCAGAGTCTGGGCCAGCTGTGGCCAGCAGCTGGGAGGCTGCAGGTGGCTACACCGGGGTCCATGGAGTTCTGGCCTGGTTCATTGCCAGTTGTGCGTGCACACATGCGTTGGGGCAGATGGCAGGGAATTAGTTGGGGCTGCACTGCCACAATAAGGATCAGACCCCTTACAGCTCCCCCACTGTCTGCCCCTGGCATGCCAACATCTCACAGGTTGAAGTTGCAGGTGCCTTGGCACTCTGCCCAAAAACATTGCCAACCCCTGATGTAGAAGTTCTTCCTGCATTTTCCTCTGAGCTTCTCAGTTTTCACAGAACCATTCAAAAGTCTACCCAGCGTTGAGGCTACAAATGGCAAAACTTTTGTTCTATAGTAACTCTTCTCTTGGGTAAAGGATGGCATGATTCTTCTACAGTGTCTTTGTCTTGGGCCTGAACTTTTGGATTCTGTTTCAGTTACTTGACAAGTCTGGGTCCTGAATGTGATTCATAGAATACCTGATACGGTAATGTTGCCACTGCGAATCAATGATCAGGACAGCCTATTTAATGAAGTATGGTGTTCTTTGAAGACTAAAAACTTGAACTCTTTGCTGTGTTATAGGCACATCATCTTCGCTGTCTGAATGATTTTGTTGAAGCTCAGATGACTTATTATGCACAATGTTACCAATATATGTTGGACCTCCAGAAACAACTTGGAAGGTAGTAAAACTGCAAAAGCTTTCTAATTAAAGCTTGGCTGTAAGGGCTTATTTAGAATAGGAGAAATTGTTTTGGCATAACTACTAATATAGCTAGCTGTGGTACAAATCCGTGGTGCAAAACAAGAGGATTCCTTTTGCTTTTCTCTTAGTTAATCAGTTGTTTGATGCTTCATGTTAGCAAGCAGTTGTCAAATGCACTAGAGGTCAGTGTACTATCTGCAAATGTATGCTATTTTTTAAACTTGCTTATAAACCAAAGAGTGGAGCTGCAGTCTCGCAAGCTGGGGCTGACTGCCAGCAAACCCAGCTACTCTAGGGGAAGCTGATCAATCAGAACAGTATCAATAGAGTAGGCAAGGTATGCCTTGTGGCTTAGGCTTTTTTTTTTTTTGGCTTTTTTTTTTTTTTTTAAGCCAAACATCTAATGCTTTAATGACCCTTTAACCTGAAGTGTTCCAAATTCTTTCTTAGATGATCAAAATGCCCTAAAACTGGGGTGTCAAACATCTGGCCTGCGGGCTAGATGTGGGCCTTGGAGGTGGGTCTTCTGGCATGCCTGGGGCAGCAATCCCGCATTTGAGTTTGGTGTCTCCTTATCAGCCTCATGCTGATGCAGAGGCAGGTGTCAGGAGGGTGCCTACCACAGCTATTGTCAGTGGCCACAAAGTAGTGGGACTTACTGATGGGCGTGAGCAATAACAGCTGCAATAGGGGCTGTGCTGACCTCTTCTCCCACAAGAGCATTAGGGTGACAAAGGGATGCAAATCCTCATTCATTCCTGGGCTACAGGCCATCCTGGCATCTCCCCCTGCAGCAGTGGTTCTGCTGTAGTGGTGGGGCTTCTTGGCACAGCTGCCAGGGCCTCAGCAAGAATAGCACTGAGGCCAAAGTAGGTGTGGTCCACAGGTACCAGCAAATCGGGGTGTGAGTTTGAGTTTGACACCCCTGCCCTAAAAGAATTTCACAGATAAAATTGCTCCCTTTCTTTTAAAAAATTTTCTTTCCCAGTTGGGGCTTTTTTCTGAAACTGTTTCACATGTTAGACAAAACCTTGACTTGGGGTAGTTTGGTTGACTATGGGGTGACTCTGCCTTGAGCAAAAAGTTGGATGTATCATAACATCATATTCAATGGAATGGAATTTCTTGGGTTAGTCTGTGTTTAGGGAAACTTTACTGAAATAGTTATGCTTACTTTTGGGATAAGCCCCCATGCAGATAATGTTGATATAAGTATTTCAGAATAGTTAATTCACCAAGTATAGGTAGGCTTTTATTAATAAAATGTCTCCTTGTTAGCAGGTGAGTTTGTGTAGTAACTTGCCATTTACAAGTTGTATTAAGTAGTTTAGTTAAGACAACTTCTAGAAAACTTTCTAGATTAATCTATTTTTGGAGGCTTTTTGGCATGTGTTTGAAATTCTCTTTTTGCTGCTAACCCTTCTGATCAAACTGCTTAACTTAAAAATAATTGATAATAGCTTTACTAGCTGTACTGATTTTGCTTGTAAAATCTTGGAAGCAAAGATGCATTTGGCAATACCCCCAATGAGGATTAACTAGTTCGATGGAACAATACTTAATATTTTCAGCAAAGCTTGCTATTTGCTTGCACAATCTGTAGCACATGTCCCACAGTTGGTAGGAAGGGTATAATGGTCTTATTTTAACCTCTTATCAAGTGGAGTCATGCCTCCATAGGAATGGAAATAATTGTCAGTGGGCATATTCTTTTTCCACAGCTTCCCATCTACCTTCCTCTCTAACAATAATCAGTCTTCCTCAACCCCTGTGCCAAGTGTATCTGCTCCATCAGTCTTGGCCTCTGCTTCTGCTTCATTGCCTTCAGTAAGCAATTCAGTAGTTACTTCAGGCTTCAGTGAACTGAAGTCATCAAGTGGCAACAGGAAGGCCAGAGTTCTCTATGATTATGATGCTGCAAACAGCAGTGAATTATCGCTACTTGCAGATGAGGTAAGAGTTCATTTTAAATGTCATAATAACTTGAAGTCGTCTGTTGGTAATTTAGGTAATGTATACATTTAACTTACAAAGAGTGACTTAAGTGGCATTCTGGTTTGTGGGCTAAAAATCTCTTCACCACATAATCTGATGTACTGAAATTTCACTAACCTATTACCCAAGTCCCTAAATGTCCTGTGTACCTGTATACCCCAGATCCGTAAAATGGAGATATTTGCTGTTTCTGCTTAAGCATTATCGCAGGTTCAGTAGCTGTGGCCTGGTTCTGCTATCCTCTCTTATGCTACAGAACAGTTTTCACCCTGAATACCACCAGTGTCCCATGTAGGGGCAGGCTTATGTACTCATCCCAGGGCATTTTGCACACGTTCCGGGACGTGACCAGGTGCTTTAATTAGCGAGCTGTGCTAATTAGAAGTGCCCTTGTGTCGTGTATATCAGTGTCCCTGTGCATCCCCATGCTGAAAAAATGGCGGTGGAGCACTTTGAACTAAAGCTCATCAAACATGTTTTATTTCAAAATGCCCTGCCGCCATTTTTTCAGCACAGGGACACTGGTACATGTGACATGGAAGGTTGCCGAAGTGTGTCTATTTTCCTGCTCCAGCAGACTCAATCAAGTCTGCTCCGACATGCTCAGTTTCCAGCACGTCCGAGCAGGCTCCTTCCACATCTATAGGAGCTCCCAGAGTGCAGCACAAGCACAAATGTTTGCTTGGTTTCAACAGGGCTAACTCGTGCCCTTGCTCCCTTGCCTTTCAATTTAGGTTCTTAATAGTTGATACTAAGGGCTTTTCGGGGGGGGGGGGGGGAAACCCTTGGAAAAGTTAACTGTGTGCATGTTAAATAACATTGAGCTCTCTCATAGATATTCTCATTTAGCACACGTGTGGGTTTAAGGTGCTTTAACTTGTGCGTGGTTACTTTTAGTTTTTGTTTGCTTTAACTTTCCTAAGTGTTTTTCATAAAAGGTTTTGAAGCGCTAGTTATCTCCATAAAAATTCCTCCAGTAAGTGCTAAGTCTTGAAGAAAATGCTGCATGTAGCTTTTCTCTCTCTCTCACATATTTTTAAAAGTTGATATGATCAAGACAAAATTTACCTTGAGTCAGTGCCCAATTTGGTGTTTTCCAATCTTGAAGTACTTTAACTAGTTCAACCCTCTTCTCTTCCCCTCCACCACAGATTAGTAGAAATAGTTTCTATAAACGGGAATTTGCTGCCCTATGGATGCTCATGTTAAATATGCTTTTTAAATATAATTTTAATATTGGAACTCTGAGTTATAAAACTCTGGTAGACAGGCTATGCTTTGCTTTCAACGATATCTGTTCCAAGATGATATGTTAACGATGTGTTTCTGTTTTTAGGTGATAACAGTTTACAGTATCCCTGGCATGGATTCAGACTGGTTGATGGGTGAAAGGGGAAATCAGAAGGGCAAAGTGCCTATTACTTATTTAGAACTGCTAAACTAAATGGTTGGCCTATATAAAGACTGTCAGTTATGGCGACATCCT